CAGCTTTGTTTTAGTACACTTACTGTTTGATATTTTTGTCATTGTTATTGAGCGCATTCAAAATGTCTTCCTGGAATAAATAAAATAAAAATAAATATGTTTCATAACCAGATAACTCAAACAATACTAAAATACGTAAATTTATGTATTATATTCAAACTAGCCCATACGTCGTTCAAACCACAATTATTCGCGGTGAATTAAAACAACACTGCATTTAAATTAATTGCAATTTGTAGGTAACAATATAATGTGGTGGTTGAATGTGGTCTCAAGCGTGATATTGGGTTATTCTAATTATGCTTCCAATTATTGTTCAATTGTATTTCAATAAAATAAAATTAGAGGGAACCAGATCACCTATGCACTGGACTGATCAAGTCAAATTGGCAACGGGAAGCCCAGTGTCAGACTGCGCCAGACAATCCACAAACAGAGAGAGATGGCGGGAGTTCGTGAGGAAAGCTGACCACGACCGCTCTCGCAAGAGCGAAACGACGGAGTAGAAGACAATCTTTCAGTGTACGTTGAAATGGTTCGAGTAAGTTTGTAATACACAAGACGTATTAGTGATTAGACAACATTTGATGATTAACTGCCATACTCAGAGATATTTATGGTTGCCTACTTAACCCAGTCACCGGCATTTGTTTTCAGTACAAGTATCTTTACTAAGGTATCGTTCAAATAAACATTAAGAATCTCTGGATACGGCAGTTACAGAATCCTTTCTAATAAACCTTACCAATATATTTCCACCGTCTTTACTTTCTTTGGTAGACGAATCTTCTTCAGAGCTTTCAGAGGATCTAAAAAATGATACATAATCAATTTTCAGACATTTCTCAATAGCAGGGTAGATGCCTAGTTTTAATTTTAATTTTAAATCATTAGACACGTATTTTTTATTTTCTTAAAGGAACGAAAACTATCGACGATAATTATATTGATTTGAAATGTCGCGTTACGTCACTTCTATGTACATTTTATACGTAGAAATAACGTTTTAGCAAACACAATTAAAAATACGTGTCTAATATTTTTTCATTACCTAACTTACGAACTAATTAGATGTTTAATTTTCATACCCTGTCTTACTTACTCACTGCTTGTTACGTCATCGCTGTTTGATTTTTCCATTTTTAAAAGATTTCTCTGTAATTAGATGTCTAATTTCAAAAGCGGTAATCATACCATTTACAGGTCTCGTCAGTCAAATGTTTGACTAATGGGTTTCTACCACATTAACAAGTGAGCAAAATGGCAGGTTGTTTGGATATCACAATTTCAATTTCAGGTTTATTAGAGGGTGCTGCTGCTGGCTATATTAAATGTGTAGTCTCTTATATCCGTGTGAAGGATAAGAGTTAAGAGAAAGAAAAAAAAAATCCTGTTAAGTGTTTACATTTAATTATGTTCTTGTGCTAGATACTACAGATTGCTGCCTAGTTGGCCGTGTGGTTGTGAGTCCGACGATCCGGGCAAGGAGTTTCGAGTTCAATTCCCGGATCGGGTAAAGTATTACTGCGGGTTTTAAAAATTCTCAGTAGTAGCACGGAGTTTGAAATTTTGGTATATGGCAATAGGCTCACCCTCACATGGGACGCATAACATAAATAGTGAAAAGTGGGCGTTACATTGTACAGTGGCAATAAGTGCCGTAATATTGCACTTTGGCCTACTCCTCCGCGAATAAAAGGCGTGATGTTATGTTGTACTATAGATTGAAAATAGGTAATACTTGCTTACTAGTAGAGCTTCCAGTTTAGCTTTTTTGTTATCATTATCGGTCTTCTGTTCTTTTTTACGTCTGTAAAATTTATTGTGTATCAATAAAGTTAAATTAGTTAGTTTCTTTGAAGTTGAAATATTATCTATATAATTATGTGTATTGTTTTTAATATTACTGAACGGAGTTCGACTTGGAGAGGGTGGATAAATTAATACACTGTACTGATATACTTATCGCCTATTTTACAAATACAATGCTTGCTGCTCACACCGTACAAAATATTTGTCCGTACCCTATATAAATCCCGATAACGAAACCATAGCGCCGTCTAACTCGATCCCAACGCCATCTATCGAGGGCTGGGACAACACGTGTTATTTATGAATTATTTTATTATAAAATATTGATAGTGCTATGATCCCGTTACCGCTCCGAAGAATTATATATTTGTTTTTAATTACTGTGGTTTGTTTTTACAGTACAAAATTGCCTGGGACAAAGTACCTCTAAATTTTGTCCCAGTCAATTCTTTGCTATTCCATTTCAATTTGATTATTAACTAGTTTTAAATTAAACGAGGAATTCAAATTGTATTTTTTCACTTACTTTTCTTTTTTCTCGTGACGATTGTTGCCTTTGATCTCCGTCAAAATTTGTTTCTGTACATAAAGGTTGGAATACAAATTAATTTTAATCCTAATAGGAGTTGAGTTATTTTTTTTTCATTTTTGCCATTTACAAGTGTTATATATCTATCTATGTGGATAAATGAAGAATCATTATTGAAATCGATATTTCTATTGTTATTTTTTTATAGCATAAGCCGGTAAACGTGCAGACGGTTCACCTGATGGTAAGCAATGGTATGTTATGAGTTTCATGTAATAGGGGGTGAGCCTACTGCCATATACCGGGCACAATTCCAGACTCCGTGCTATTACTGAGATTTTTTTAAAACCCAGTAATACTTTGCCCGAACGGGAATCGAACCCGAGACCCCTAGCCCGAGACGCACTTGCGACCACTCGGGCAATGAGGCAGTCCAAATGTCTCTACAAATTCTTTGTAAAATGACAGAGACAGCACGATATTTAAGTATAACTTTAAAATTGAGTGCCTTTCAGTATTAGAGGGTAAATTATCTACCTCTAAGATGAGTGAACGATTGGTTATCATCACATAGTATAATACAAAGTCGCTATCCGCCGTCTGCCTGTCCCTATGTATGATTAGATCTTTAAAACTACGCAACGAATTTTGATGCGGTTTTATTCAATAGATAGAGTGATTCTTAAGGAAGGTTTATATGTACATTACATGCATAGTGCACCCGTGCGAAGTCGGGGCGTGTCGCTAGTTTGTAATATTTGACTATAATACTTGCCAGTACTTTATCGTTCTCCAACTTTTCTCTATCCTTCTGTGCTTTAAGCTTTTTCTTTGCTATATCTTCATTTTTTAATGAATTCAGCACGTGACTCTGAAATAAGACTAAATATTACATAACATAACATCACGCCTTTTATCCCCGAAGGGGTAGGAAGAGGTGCACATTATGCCACTGTACAATGTAACACCCATTTTTCACTATTTATGTTATGAGTCCCATGTAATAGGAGAGAGGAGAGAGGAGGCGAGAGAGAGTGAGCCTATTGCCATATACCGAGCACAATTCCAGACTCCTTGCTACTACTGAGAATTAAAAACCCAGTAATACTTTGCCCGACCCGGGAATCGAACCCGAGACCCCTTGCTCGGCAGTCACACTTGCGACCATTCGGCCAACGAGGCAGACTAAATATTAATTGAAATATTTGAAGGTACATATAACAGATGTACTTTATTATTGAACTAGAACTAGCTACTGCCGCTCGGTTTCATCCGTTCTGCTCGGCTCCTGTTTACCTTAGCGTGATGTTTTGTAGCGTATAGTCTTCCTCGATAAGTGGACTATCCAACACAAAAAAAAATATTAATTTCTGTTCAGTAGTTCTGGAGATTAACATTGTACAATCTCTTCAGCTAAATATAATAGTGTATAACATAAAAAAAAATAAAATTAAGTATATAATGCAGGTCACCTTCTTCCACGGCTTTAAGGCAGCCCATTACTTTTATTATTAGTGATGACAGTAAAGCAACATAATACCTAAGTATAATTACGTGTAATAACAAAAATAATAATAAAAATAAAAAGATTTACCACTAAAACTTTTACTGGAGCATTCTGAACATTATCATCACCGTTACTGCTTGATTTCCATATCCCTAGTTTATCGATGTAAGATCTAGAATGAAATAACACAATAAAAATAGATATAGATTGAGATTAATTTCAAGGTGATCTGATTTACTAACGCTCGAATACTGAAAGGGTACTAAATTTTAAATTGTACTTAAATCAATATTTAAGTCGATGGTTACGTACGTATAGTACCACAATAGATGATGATGGCGGGATATGAAAATTAAAAATCGAATTAGTCCGTCAGTTAGGTAATGAAAAAATATACGACACGTATTTTCGTATTTTTTTATTTTGTCGTATAATAAAATGATACTTAGATATAACGAATCAAAGTTTAGGAGTGGGGGCTAAAACGTCATTTCTACGTACAAAATGCACATAGAAGTGACGTCACGTGACATTTCAAATCAATATATCATCGAAAGTATCCGTTTCTGTAAAAAAAATACGTGGCTAATGATTTAAAATAATCTACCAGACGGACATTAAAATAAAAATTAGTCATCTACCCTATTGCTATCTCTATCATTTTACAAAGGATTTCTTATGAAAGAACTAGATCTAAGCGCGTCTTAAAATTAAGTGTCGTTTGAGCATTTCGACATACATATAACAGTTAGTACTTACTTTTGACTTTCCCTATATTTATTGAGATTCTTGACAGCTTTTATAATCTTCGCCTGTTAAATTAATCGGAAGAAAAATGTGTATGCATTTGATATAAATATGACATGAGTGTATAGGGCTTTTTTAAGAGTTGAAAATCATCGAATGTCTACTCCCGCCCGGTGAGGCGGGAGGGAGTATTAGACTCTTACTGACTAAAAACCACCCCGTTCCTTCTCCTGCACTTGGAACCGGAGCCCCAGTAACCCATTAGGTTCTCCGCGACGAGTTTATAGGGCTAAGGGAAGTTTTATACAAACTATTGATAAACAAAGACAAAAACTTACGTCTAAATAGCCGTCCCTTGAAATGTTCTTTATAACATTTTCCCCGGTTTGGCTACAATAAAAAGAAGGTATAGAAATATGATATAGGCATCATTATGAAGACAATAGTATGTCTATACAAATTGTAGACAACGTACCTGTTATTTATACTGTTTGAATTGCTGAATAAAGCGTCTGGCCATTGCGTGGGGTTTTTAAATAAGGAACTGGATATTTCTTTTGGTTTCTGCAGATAAAACCCAGGGATGACCGGCATAGTTTCCACTATGTCATTCTTTTCATCGGGATTTAATAAATTGGTTCTCCTTTTCTATAACGTGAAAAATGTTATTGTTACGTCAAAGGTGTCCAAAGCAAAGTACTTCATTGGAAATATTATAACTTTGTTGATAAATTTTAGAGTTCATAGATAAAATAATATATTAATGTTTTTTGTCCCCCCCCCCTCCCTAAGCTCCTCAATCCCCGAATCCCCAACAATCTTCTAATTCCTAACTTTGCCTAATTAGGCAAAGTAGTAGTAGCCTCGAGGACCGAGTGGTGCGACTGCCTCACAGGCAAGGGGTCGTTGGTTCGATTCCCGGGTCTGGCAAAGTACTACTGGGTTTTAAAAAAAAATCTCAATGGTAGCACGGAGCCTGGAATTGTGCCCGGTATATGGCAATAGGCTCACCGGTGTTACATGGGACTCATGACATAAATAGTGAAAAGTGGGTGTTACATTATACAGTGGCATTAAGTGCCGTAATGTGCACCTCTGCCTACCCCTTCGGGGATAAAAGGCGTGATGTTATGTATATATTATTAACTGAAATACAAATATTTGAGCATTCATATAACTTAGAGTTTCAGAGACAACATTATGAAACAAAGAGACTTCACTTCCAAAAAGTTTTGACACTCTAACTCGACGTGTTAGAGGTTAAAGTGGCGAGCAAATAAATTATGCATACATATTGTGATAATCTACCTCTATTAAATACATATATTTCCTATTGAATGTGGCTACTGATATACGTTTTGTTTCACTTCTAGATATAGAATGTCTTTTGTTGTACGTAACAACAAAATAATACTCTAAATAACATTAGGTACTATTTCTTTAGAATTTTTTAAATAGTGATATTCAAAATATTAAAGCTCGAAATGACAAACCTAATTTTTTTATCTATTTTTTTTATCTTACAGCTATTGAGCTATAAAACCAAAGAATTGGATGGATAAGTCGTTGGACTTATTCAAGAAATAAAACTCCTTTCTTAAATATGTTTTTAAACCAAAAAATAATAGGAGTTCACTTTGTTTTTATCGCTCATTAGCGTCAGAATACAAAGTACGTCGAGTACAATTTTATTACCATAAATAAACGATGGTTGTTTTTAATAGGATCGTTAGCGATGGTTTTGAATTCGAGTTAAAGCATTATTTCATTTAGTCTTCTGAGAATAAAATAGTTAAAAGATTATTTAAACTCGGATTTTCTAGACTAGACAGATTTTTTTGAAATGTATTCGTTAATACTGTATCTCAATTCTTTTTTTAGGCCAGAATAAAGTATATTTGGCTACAAACCTAAAACAATTACAAACACTAACCTAACAACACTTAGCAAACACTTTATCAAGCCCTATTTCTTAGCCGAGTAAATCCTAAAATAAACAAAGTGTCCATTTAATTGTGGTCCGCAGTGTACTAGTCATTTGTTCTGCAGATAAAAGGATCTAATGCCTCTACACGGACTTTCACTCCGGAGTTTTGAAATGCATTCCAAGTGTTTGTGAAAATTTTATATCAAAACCATATATTTTGTAGCTAGGTGAGTAGTAGATATTATATATGTATGTAGCATGTATGTATATTGTATTGTACTCGTGAGTAGGTATGCTGTACGTGTGTATGTCATTGAACTCCTCCTAAACGGCTTGACTGATTTAAATGAATTTTCTGTATGCGTTTGAGTGGCGACCTGGATGGTTTAGATTCACAAATCAGCCCGGCAGATAGCGATCAAAGTCAAAAGTCGAAATCATTTAAGTATTTCAATTAGACCAGAAAGGAACTTTTGAACGTCAACAAAAAAATAAATAAAAGTGAAGCTATTCGCTCATTCCAAGGTTTAGATTCCTATGGAGAAGAACGAGCAAGATACTCCACTCTTTTTCAATCAAGTTCACAATACAATTATCTAGTTACACAGTTTGGTTGTTTGGATTGTGCGAGAACAATGTAACACTAAAATACAGTCAAAGAGATCGAAAAAAAAAATAACCTTAAAGGACAGTAAAAAAAAACAAATACAGTCTGCTGCAGTCAGTATCTAGGTTATATATTATTATTATTGTATTATATGCAGGACAACGTCTGTCGGGTCCGCTAGTATATTATAATTATGTTCATTTATGTTTATCTCTAAAATATGTAAGTGTATCTTCTATTTGCTCAATGAAATCGTTGCTTGCTTCTTGCTCCTACCATTAACTCTTCTCTGTAGCACCCAATGGTTAGACTGGGAAAAAATGTCTGCAGCATTAAGTCCATCTAATGTACCAATACTTTGTGCATGAAGCTTTAATAAATAAATAAGTACCTACTGACGGTGCATAGAGAAAATTTTACTAATCCTACTAATATTATAAATGAGAAAATTTGTGAGGATGTGTGTGTGTGTGTGTGTTTGTTACACTTTTACGTCAAAACGGCTGATGGAATCGAAATCAAATTTAGAACAGGAAAAGATTAAGGTCTGGAAACGCTGGACGCGAGCGAAGCTGCTGACAAAAGCTGGTATTATAAATTTTAGCATTTAGAGTTTGTGTGTTATCATAATGACCGACAAATAGGCTACGTTTTCGTACACAAAACCGCTAATAGACCTAGACCTATTTTAATACTTAATAATAATAAATTATGGAAATAGGCACTAACGTTATACTGCTTGGCTGTGTGGTCGAGTGCGACCGGGCAAGGGGCCTCGGGTTCGATTCCCGGGTCGGGCAAAGTATTATTGGGTTTGTAAAAAACCTCAGTAGTAGCACGGAGTCTGGAAATGTGCCCGGTATATGGCAATAGGCTCACCCCCTATTACATGGGACTCATAACATAATTAGTGAAAAGTGGGTGCTACATTGTAGTGGCATAATGTGCTCTGCCTAACCCTTCGGGGATAAAAGGCGTTATGTTATGTGTTAATTTCTATTCAAATAAAAATGAAACTGACCCCAGTTCCGATCTGAACGAACGCGTATAAATAACAGGTCTTCCTTCACTAATTCTATATTAGCATGAAAATTACTAACAAAACTACTAGTGAGTCTAAGCAAATATACTCTGAAAACACCCTATAAAAGTCAAAGGAGAAAATAATATACTAACAGGGTTGCAAAGAACTAAATGAAACCATATTCACGCGAAGATAAAGTTGAAAATGTTTCTACGGTTTAATACAGAGTAATTTCTGTGTAAATTGATACATTGGCGGACTGACGTCAAAGAGCTGACGCTGTAGAGAGATATGAGCAGTGAAGGATCTTGTTATTTTTAATACATGTTTCTGTAAAAAAACCTTCGTATTTGTGTTGTCTATGAAACTTAATTTTGTGGTTATTTTTGGAATTCACTGTAAAAGTGAAAATGAGATGTCGAAAAAAAGTATTGTTATAGAGTAGGTTCAATGATAGGCGACTACAATAGAACTGATTATCATTTATTCACACAAAACCCTGACTTAAGTTGTATTTTACGACATTTCAGTTGTTGCTTGATTTACAATTCACCAATGAGAGAACAGGGATTTCTTCGACTTGAATTTTGGCGGTTCACCACATCTACGCGCAAGGTTTGGTAAGGTTTTTTTTAAATATAACAAGAAAAATGGCTTAGTTAGTATGATTTTTTTAACGTTTACTGTAATTGGGTTGGTGCGACTGCACGGTTGGTGCGGTGGCTGGGCAACCGGCTGCCGTGCAACGTGTCGCGGGTTCGATTCCCGCACGGAACAACACTTTGTGTGATCCACAAATTGTTGGTTCGGGTCTGGGTGTCATGTGTATGTGAACTTGTATGTTTGTAAACGCACCCACGACACAGGAGATAAACCTAGTGTGGGGCAAAGTTTAAAAAAAAAATTGGGTACTTGCAAACTAACCAAATTCGATACTTTTTTTCGAACTGTCAAAAACGATAGGAATTTTGTACCGAGATTGTTTATTTACGTCACGTTTTCTTAGCGTGAAACGGCATACTTATTTCACAAAAGTGTGATTTTTTTATATTTTATTGTATTGAACGGTCGAAATAAATTATTTTTGATTAAAAAAAGTACCCAATTGTAACGAGACCGCGTTCGGCGCATTGATTGGCTGGCTCCAATGAACTAGCTAATCAAAGCGCCTTAAAACTTAGCCTTCTGTTGGTCCAAAACTGTTTTGTAGATCAATCAATGAAATAAAATTATTTTTATTCCTGTAAATAGGCAACAATATAGCAATTTTGCACTTCAAAACGTAAGTACTTTAAGATTAAGCTAGATAACTTCGGAGTTTCATATCAAACCTAGGAAGAAACACAATAACAGACTCAGAAGTAACAGTCTCCTTTTAAAGCCCATCAGTATAAAAGGTGGAAATTGCACTTACATTTCGGCATGTGAACATACATACATTATAAATGAGTAAAAATACCTAATAACCACAGCTATGTCAGATATATAGTAAGTAACATTAATTAAAGGATTCGTTTCCGCCATGGAATGCGAAGTTTTTCTACCGAAGATTGATGTCTGAAATGGCTGGTATGCGGGTGTATTAACATAGCTACATTTCCCTTGAAACATGAGGAAATTAGCTCTTAGTGATTATATAGGTAGGTAGTAGGGTTACGTTGTTGGCTATATTTTGTAATAAGTTAGTTTATTAAATGAAATATGAAGAAAAAGTGTCATATAAAGACTGGTTTGTTAGCTGCCTCGTTGGCCGAGTGGTCGCAAATGCGATTGCCCGGCAAGGGTGCTCGAGTTCAATTCCCGGGTCGGGCAAAGAATTACTGGGTTTTAAGAATATTGGTAAAATAATCACAAGGGCGGCTGTTGAGTAATGAATTTTGGGTTCGGTCTAACGGCTTTTTAATGCTATGGCGCTCGGGTCTGGTTAACAAACAATACGGCCTTCACACCTTTAAGAAAAGAGCGTATTATTTTTTTAAAAGGGCCGGCAACGCCATATATCTTGATTCCTTTGGTGTTCCGGGTGCCCATGGGCGGCGGTGATCCCTTACCATCAGGAGATCTGTCCGTAAGCCTATTATTCCATAAAAAACCTCTTCAATTTCACTTAACCAACCTACATAGCAACAAAATATCTTGTTTAGTACGTACACTAGAAAAATGTTGAAATAAATATTATCTAATAAATAAGGTACCTATGTCAATCATAAAGAGTGCGATTGACAAGGCCACCTGATGTCTAGGTAGAAGGTTCTCAATATTTATTTCAACACTATAAATATAGATCGAGTTATCTAGGTCGTAAGCGGAAAAATATGAATTGAGTTAGGTACTGAAGTTACTGGATTTTTACTCTCCGGTTACCAGGGTATCGATATCACTTGATGCTCAGAATATTATTAACTAAGTACTCTCGCGCGGTTTCACCCGGTCTGTTTGGCTCTTATTGATAGCAGTGTGATATTTTATAGCCTATGCCTTCCTTGAAAAAGGTACTATATACACAACACAAAAAAAATATTCAAATCGCAACCATAGTTTTGGAGATTAGCACACTCACAGAAAACCGACGTGAAACGACGCTTGCGTTATATTTCGTCGTGTGAGTGAGGTTACCGAAGACCCCCATTAGGGGGCTCCCCATTCCCTGAATCCCCAACAAACCTCAAATTCCTAATCCCTAAAAGCCCAGGAACGCACTTGTTGTGCAGAAGTAGGAACGGGGTGGTTTTTAGTCAGTCGGACACTTCCTCCCGGCTCAACTAGGTGAGAGAAGCCATTCGATGATTTTCCCCCGGCGGGACGACGACATCGGGCGACGCCGATGGCTTATCCCAAAAAAAATGAAAAAAAAAAATCTCTTCAGCTTTAAGAGAATTGTGAGATAGGTAAGTGATAAGTAGCAAATATAAATTACATATAGGTAAGAGGTGTTTTTTTAAGGAAGGGAAATCATCGAATGACTGCTCCCGCCTGGGTGAGGCGGGAGGGAGTGTCAGACTCTTACTGACTAAAAACCACCCCGTTCCTTCTCCTGCACGTCGAGTCGGAGCCCCGGTTACCCGTTAAGATTTAAATTTAAGACATTTAAACAACGTAATAATATTGCTATGTCATGATAATATAAGAAGTCTACTTTAGATGTTCAATTGTTTCTTAATGATTAGTTGGAGCTTACGTCAGTGTCGTGCTTTTGTAATTAACGAATTGTTGTTTCAGTAGGTGGTAATCTGCTAATAATAATTAACCAACTAATTACTTGTAAGACTAATAAATTAAGTAATATTTTCTACCTAATACTTCTTCCACAAATATTATGAAAAATGATTTACAAAATAGAACCTTTAAAAAATAACCTAAAAACAAAACTAACACTCCGTTTACAATATTAAAACCCGTCTCCAAATAGAACTCGCTGCCTTTTGAACTTGATGTATGCAAATATTATTGATAAATATGGCCGGGGATCGGATTTGCACGTCAAAAGGATATCCCGGATCATGCGGATTATCCGCAAGAACGGCCTGACATCCGCTATCTCATAAATAAGAAAGTTTGACAATCAAAATATGAACATAAACAACACGCCCTTTATTCTTTGAAGGGTAGAAAGAGTTTATTAAAATCTACTGCACGGTTGGGCAACTGGCTGCCGGGCAACGTGACACGGGTTGGAATCCCGCACAGATCAACTCTTTGTGAGATTGTGTGTATGTGAACTTCTATGTTTGTAAACGCACCCATGACACAGGAGATAATCCTGGTGTGGGGCAATGTTTAAAATAAAAACAAAAAAAAAATAATCACCGATGGTCCATCTCTAGACGGTCTGGCCGTGGCTCGAACTTAAAAACTTATTTTGGATTTAACTTCATACTTGTAACATTTGTGTATTCACCACCCAAGTACGTGTTATTTTGTTATAAGGTAATTAATAACTTAATTACTTACCGCACCATTACCTGTTTGCTGTTAAAATGACAATACAACATTAGTTTCTCGCAAAAAAAGAATTTTCTATGATACATCTTGATGTTAATAACATATTTTGAAGTTTTTAACGCGATGATTTTTTTTAAGGGCGGAAAATCATCGAATGACTGCTCCTGCCTGGGTGAGGCAGGAGGGAGTGTCAGACTCTTACTGACTAAAAACCACTCCGTTCCTTCTCCTGCACGTCGAGCCGGAGCCCCGGTTACCCGTTAGGTTCTCCGCGACAACACGACGATAGCATTATTATACGTACAGCTGAAGGAACATTTTTAAAGACAACGGAATATACACAGCTATATTAAAAACCGAAAAGGCTAAAGGTAACATCACAAACATGTCTACTAAATCACTGTCACACACAAAACCAGAGAAACTTGTCAAAGCGTACATGCAAATAGTCTAATCCTAAGAGATTCACATTTTCCTAATCCGTTGACAGAGTTGTAATGTGAATTGGGAAATTCCCAATTCTAACGAAAGTTTCCTCACGTCCGAAGTTAGGTCGGTCTATCACTTATAACTACGCCATAAACGGTAATAGGCAAGCAACTCTAGATATATGAGAAAAATACGTGGACCAAACAGATTGGGGAACATTTTATTTTTGGGAACTTGTGGTGAAGGTAAGGAGGAATCGTGAGGAAATTTTGCTGCGGTCGGGCAAAAAATCTTGGCAAGTTTTTCTGGGAAGAAAATATCAGTATTAAGCTGGGCTTTACTTTAGTTTCTAGTGGCGTACATGCATCAGTATATTACATAATGTTTCATTACATTGACCTCTTGTGTGCTTTCGTATAAGACACAATAGAAAATATATTGATTCGCGTGAAACCGCGGCACACGACGGGTTCAATTCAGTACAAATCATCAAAAAGCTAATATTGTTATAAAAGTGAAATCGAAAGAATCCAAAGAAATGTATTCGCAATGCATTTCACCAAGTATTTTTGCTATTAATTTTACATTTCATACACCATATTAGAACGTAAACTGTAGATAATAATAATTCTTTTGTCAGCTACCTACTACGTTACTTAACAAACCCATATCTGATTTCTTATAAATAATTCCATCCAAAGCTTGTCAGGAAGAAATCACCATTGTGTGATAAGACCGCCCATTGTACGCATATTTACTTGAATTGTTTGTTTTAAAGCTACTTAAATGTGTACAATAAAGCATATATAACTAAATAAATACGTTAAAAAACCGACTATAAACTCCTCTTTTTCAGTAAGTTAATTAATATACTAAAACATTCACCCAAGTATAGTAAACACTGTTTTAAAAATTGCATCATAATCGGTTCACCCAATCGCGAGATATGTACACAAACATATATAAAAGTCAAACCTCCTTTTTTGAATCAGTTAATTACAATCTGTATACAGACCTTAAATCCCTAATCTACAAATAGATTCGTTTTGGTTTGGAAATATCCGCACTCAGCATTCGGATACGAGTCGCGACCTCACAAACTAATTAGTTACCTATGTTAGCTTTCAATTCCACGTCTGATTTATCCGAATTAATTTCCTTGTTTCTATGTTACTTGTAGTTTTATATTGTAGTTGTAAGTGTCGATACATTTGGATTCGATAAGAGGAATCTCTTTTATTAATTCATGTGAGATTACAATATTTCCTGGTGATTAAGTCATGATGCGGCCTACCAGTAGCACTCTTGCTATAAGTAACCTATTCTATCCTATTCACTCACTGAGTGAATTATATCTGAGAGAATTGTACGAACTGCCGTAACATAGATATAATTCTGTGGTCCGTAAAAGATATTTTAGGTAATATTATCCCTACATTACTACGATCTGGATTTACGAATAGATAGTAAGTAGCTTAAAAGCGTTTTGATAAGTTTTTATAACTGAAACTTGTATATTTACGAGGTATTTAATGATAAAATGTGTATGAGGTAAAACTAGCGAGTATCCTGAATCTCTCAATAACACTATGTACATATATTGTATTAAGTTATAATTAAAATAATAAAATCTTACCTTTAATATGGTTAAAATTGTGTCGTAATTAATATCACCAGCATTCACAAAAGTAATAAGACTCTGAAAACAATAAAAAATATTATTTAATCTCTTCTTAATCTTTTAGTCTTGTCATTTATAAGTACATATTATTTTTAATTACTTAGATATAATTATATAATAATGTATCACTTTTTGAATAAAACAATAATCATCAGGTTCACAAACAAGTATTATTTTTACAACTAACCAGCTTTTACCCGCGGCTTTGCCCGCGTATTCCGTATTCCTGTTTTAACAAAAAAGATTTTAATAAAAAGCATCCCATCACCTATGTCAGCCCAAACCCTGTTTGTATACCAAATTTCATCAAAATCCTTTCAGTAGTTTCAGCGTGAGTGACTTACACACATCCAAACAAAGAAACATTCATATTTAATGTTATTCATATTACTGTGATATCTGAGAGAGGTAGAAATGTTGTCAAATAATCTATTCTATTAACCCTCAATTTGTATCTAAAATTATGACGCAGTTGTAGTTCAGATTTACAGAGTATACACGAGTTATAAGCCATTTCCTATCAAGTAAGTTCAGCCGATTCATTTGGTATGCAGCTTACAAATTATAA